TTTTTATAATTCGATCTTCGTGGATCTCCGATTCTCTGTGGGGATGGGGAAAAATATTTCCCTTTGGCAGGATTTCGGGACAGAAATGGAGAAAATATTGAGGGGTGGGTGGGGAGAAATATCCTCTGCACATTCTCTGTTCCGTTGACATCCCTAACCGGAATTGCATTATTACTGCACATATAGCATAATAACAGCAACAACAACAATATTTGACGGCTGTTTTCAATTGACATTCTACCAAGACCTGATAGAGTGGCATGACATTGTCCAGTAAAAGAGTGGCATGCCATTGTCCAGTATGATTTTTACTATATTATAATTATTTATTTTATTAAAATATAAAAAAATTAAATTAAATTAATTGATTAATAACAGATAATTATTCTATATATAAATTATATTTTCCAATTATTAATGATTCATTTAAAAGAAAACGTAAAAATAAGATATACCTTACCAAAAAGAAATGCAATTCAAGTTGTTTTACATAAAATTAAATAAATGATATTTTAAAAAAAAATAAATACGTGTAATCAATTAAAGCAAAATCGTATGTGTAATTTTGTTGGTGTTTGTTTTCTTTATGTACAAAGTAGATAAAGTCCTAAGCAACTTATGGCATTTTTCAATTTTAAACATCGATTTTGAATACATCATGCTTTTGTTCCAATGATGTCACACATTGTTGGATCGATGCATGTATTTCAACATTATCCAAATATATATCTAACTTATCAAATTCCACTTACCCGTTTATCACGTTTGCTGCAAATTCGAATATCTACAAGAGGATAAAGTAAACTATAGACTTGCATATTGCAATGCAATTTAGGTTAATCTATGTTTTTTAAAAATAAATATTAAGCTGTAAAGCAAATTTGAATATATGTGTTTTTATAGTTTTTCTTTTATTTTATAAATTGAGAATGTGGTCATTACTCCTAGAAACTCAAATATATTTGTAAGGTTAAATTACAAACATTGATTATAGGTATTTGAAATATAAAACATTAATATAAATTTTTTAGACGAGTTGGAGTTCAATAACTTAAAAATCGCTTACAAAATTACTTTTAAATTATCCACCAAATACTCACATTGATATCTTGATATCGGAAGTTGAACATTTAAACTAAAATTTGCAAACACAAATATATTCTAACCTAATATTTTAAAAAATAAGACTAAATGAACTCTAATTTTAAGTTGAAAATAACAATAATATATTTTTTTAAAGCATTCACTTCATTTTATTTGACGAGAGGTCGAACTTGACTTTGTTGATACGTAAACAGGTTAAAGTACATGATCTCAAATTACGATTAACCAATGCAAGAGCTGTAGGGTTTAGTAACCACAACTGGTGATTAACTCAAAGAGAATATGATGTTTTAACTAATAAATAATGATTAATCAATGTCAGAGTTTGTCTGAGCATCGAGTTCATATAGTAATGTATAAAAAGGAAGAGGGGTATTTTAACCATATAGGTGATTGATCTAAATATATGAGTCTGGTTTAGAGGTGAGTGTTTCAACCATAAGGTGGTTAACCCAAAAGGATGCATAGATGCCAAATAATGCAGTGTTTGGTCCAAAGAGAATAGTGTTGTTGATGTTGATTGTAGTGTTATTTGTAGGGAAGAAGACTTGATAGTTATTTGATTTGAATTGCACTAAATTCTATGAATGGTGACGAATACTTAGAACAACTGAGTCAAGCATCCCGTATCCAAAGATGTTCAAAATGAGGATAGGAATACTCCCTATCATTCCTTCTGCATTACTTAAGGCTCGTGGCACACGATTTGCATCATTAATGATAAGTGTTGAAGAAGAATCTTTTTGTTGTGCTTGAGCACTGATCCAGTCTTGATGTCCAAAGTCTTCAAAGCCTTGAGTGTGAAGTTTGACTTAACTTGAATCCATTGTAGTGCCAATACAGAGGACTAGTCCTACCAAGTGATCAACATACTTGTAATCACTTGACTGGACAAAGGAAACAAATAAAGCAAGTGATTAGTCGATCAAAAAAAGCTTTAACCAACAATCAAAAAGACATGATCATGCATACTAATTTTCTAGAAATCAAACTAATATAACATGAACATATTTATTATTTTCAAAAGATCCAAATTGAAAAATATTCTAAAACTAATGATTATTGCTAATAAGAATCTATGGTATATTATCCTTAATAAAAATTTAGATCGATGAAAAAGAGAAACAATTAAAACCTAACTAGATTAATAGATTTTTCTAAGTATTTTCATGTAAAAAAGTGTTTTGAAGGTATGCTAAATTAAAATAGAAAAGAAAAGGAAAAAATAAACCAGAACCAAAGGTGCAAGACCAGCAGGGGTGTGGCCTGGAAAATCAACGCGGGCTTACAGTAAGCCCAAGGTGCAACAAACATTGTTTAGACGGGAGGTATGACATATAAAAATGGGGTGCAGAAGTAATGTTGGTTCTTTAAGTGAAGACAATATTACATGCAAGTATACATGGTCTTTAATTGCAGCAAGTGATACATTTAGTACGAATGTCGAACCCATGAGGAGTGGTATAACTTAACTTGATTTACTTATGATTTTGTGAATTAGCATGAGCAAAGGTAACACAAGTTGAGAATATGGTTCTTTCACACAAGTTGAGAATAACATACTTCATAAGATAAGTTAGCAAGATATAAATAAGCGTGTTGAACAACTATCCACTTACTAGTGTATGAATCTATCATAAATATTATGTGATGTGTCATGACAGATAAAGACAAAATGCAAGCTAAGTGTGTATTCTTACAACATTGGATCATATACATGAATAGTAAGGAATAAATTCCTAAGTCTCACATTACTACTATACATGGAAATATCATTATGCATTTTTTCCATGGTTCTAACTCCTTATTCATAAGGTAGTTAATCTAGTGAATATATCTATCCTACTATTTTCAACAATATTTAGCATTAGTTCCACTTAATTAATGGGTTCCCCATATTAACAAGCTTTTAGTTAGTTCTAAGGTGATCAAATTCAAAGCCAAGTATATAATATTAACACAAATACTAAAATCAATCACTAAAACACATCATAATATAAAGATTCATTACTAATAAATATCACATTTCTCAACACAAAGAGTTTTAGCTCATAATAACTTTAATAAATACAAACATACTGGTTCTTAAAGTAAACACTTATAAACACATAAGCACTAAAAAAACTCAACCTAAGAAACAATGCTGACTGCTTGCAATCTTCAATCAACAAGAATCAGGCGCTGTTGCTCAAAGTGTTTTCAAAATTCTTCTCCGTTCTCACTGACTCAAAGTGTTTTCAAACTTCTTTTCAACTGTGTAAAATATGCTGAACTATTGGACTCTCCTCACCAACCACTCAACTATTTATTTTATAGGGAACCAAGTTAGGGTTTTGGAATATGTCTTGGATCATGGGCTTTATGATTTGGCCCATCAACGCTAACATTTCCCCCTCCCTTTCTCTTATTCTGAAATGTATAGGGCTGATGTGTCCAAGCACGCAGGGAACAAAACATGTAGAGCAGGGTTGTGGAGCAGGTGGTACAGAAATACGCAACATTGAAGACTAATTGATCTTGTACCATGTGTCATATTTTTTGTCTTATAGTGCACAACCTTGCTTCATTCTCTTTATAGCTCAACAACTGCTTCCCAATGCACTTCATTTCCTTTTCTAGCTCTTGGATACTTGACAAAACTTGCTCTAGCATCTTCTGGTATTAAAACTTGTTGGGTCAGAGCGCATTTGTTCTTTTCTCTTCCTGGCATGCCAGGAATTGACAGGTCTCGGGTTCCTGCAAAACACAAAAACACACAAAACTACAAAAAGAGAGCACTTATTTTGCTCCACACTACACTATCTAAAGCAACAATATAAAGCAAATAAACTAAATAAAAATGAAGATTAAAACAATAGAACTTCAAGTATTAAAGGTAAAATAACTCACAAAATATAAGTTATCACACCCCCAAACTTGAATCATTACCTGTCTTCAGGTAATGCGACAGATAACCCAAAATAAACTTGAATCGTTACCTGTCATCAGGTGATGCGACAACTAACCCAAAAAAAATCTAAAGTTGGCTGAAAATAAACAGTTATATTAGTCTTATTGAAGAAGGTTTTGGAGGTTTAGGTGAAATCATTAGTAATGACAAAGGTCACACTATAAACTTAAAAAAATGCCAAACCAATATTCGCCTGTGGAAGCGTGTAGATGGACATGGATTATAGGGAAGATACATTCATGCAAGACAATGCAGAGTGAGACCACTCTATTTAGTACTGTACCTTGGATGGAACCATCATTCATGCTGATTGCTATTTTCCTAGTCACGCATTTCAATGTCATAATAAACACAGTAAAAAAAATATGTGTTTGGTTTTTATACTATTTAGCATAAAGTTTTTAGAGATGAATCTCTTAAATCAATTTTAATTATTTAAAGAATTAATGAACAAAATAATGAGGGTGGGAAGAATGTTAGCAGAAGTCAACAATTTAAATAATGAATTATTAAATATGGGTGATGATGCAAAGTGACGGAGAGGCATCGTAGATATTTTATCTTAAAAAAATTATAATATTTTCTTTCTTTTAGTTTATGGGCTATAAAGGAAAAATTGTTTACTATCTGGATTTTTCTTTTTATTCATTAATATTATTTACTATAAAGCAAAATAAAACATTTTAATTTGTTTATTAGCTCAAATTTTCTTATTTTGCAAAAAAAAAAAACTTTTTAATGTTTTGTTTGGATTAATAAACACATCATGATTGCGTTATGCTTACGTATATTGATAAGAATAAATAAAGAGAAGCTTGAACTGAAGCAAACACTTGCGTTTTTCTAATGTTTGACCATTCTCTCTCTTTCACCATTATATATATACTTGATTCAATCCACCATGCTTCTTACATTTCCATCAACACGTTGTCAACAATTTCATAAAATGGCAGAAAACATGAAACAACCTCGTCTTGTTACTAGGAAGTTCTTAGCCAAACCTCAACGAGAAGGTGTTGGTGCTCTTGTTAGAAGAAGCATAGGAAGGTAATAATCTCGCACCACACACAATGCATTATTATATGTTTTTTTTATTTATTAGTTTTCTTAATTTTTTGGGTTTGTTTAGATTTGAGCTCAAGTACTTTGATCCTTTCCTTCTCTTGGATGAATTCTCAGGTAAGAGATTCTCTGTTCAAAATGAGAATCACAAATCACAATCTTGTTCTGTTTTTTAAGAATGTGAAATAATGTTTCAGTTGCTGCTCCTGCTGGATTTCCTGATCATCCTCATAGAGGTTTTGAGACTGTCACATATATGTTACAGGTAACATAACATAAATGTCAAATGTTTCATTTTTCTATTGTTATAAAGTTAATTATATTTAGTGTAATTGTTTTGTGAAATTAAGGGTGCTATAACACATGAAGATTTTGAAGGACACAAAGGAACAATTGAAGCTGGTGACTTGCAGTGGATGACTGCTGGCAGAGGGATTGTGCACTCTGAAATGCCTGCTGCTCAAGGAATTCAAAAGGGTTTGCAACTATGGATCAACCTTGCTTCCCAACATAAAATGTAAGTCAACAAAAAATATATCATTTACTTTTTATTAGCATCACACTTTTGATAGAAGATGACAAATTTCAAAATTCAAACCGGTCCAATTCGCAGTAACTTAAACCGAAAAACTGAATTGAGCCGAGTAGAAACGAGTTGGTGGGTCATCAGTCCAAATTTTAATTTTAAATAAACTAAAATGGACAGATTCACTTCATTTAAATGGAGATCCGAATACTCAAATAGATCTTATGAATTTTTTTCAGTAAAATTTACCGTTGATCTCAACAATTTTATATTTATTTTTAAAGAATATTATTACTAACCATCACATCATTGTTGATTTTTTTAAAACAATTCTACATATCAAATTAGAACCTTAGCCTTGGCCCCCATATGATTAGATGATGACATACTTTTTACATCATCAATTGTTTGGAAGATTTTTTTGGATGATGTTTACAATGAGACAAAAAAGGAATTTCCACTCTTTATAAAGAAAAAGTCATATAAATTTTAGAACATTATGAATTGATATATATATATATATATATATATATATATATATATATATATATATATATATATATATATATATATATATATATATATATATATATATATATATATATATATATATATATATATATATATATATATATATATATATATATATATATATATATATATTCCTCCCTCACTTTCACACGTGACTTTATCTCATGATTCTTCATCATGTACCATATCCTACAAATGCTTTTTGAATGAGCATCAAAAGATTCAACTTTTTCTTAGTGTCTTGTTGGAAGTAGTACTTGTTATCTACTTTTTGGAAATTACTAATAACATCTATCTCCCTTAAAGTTTAAGTTAAATTGATAAAATATTTTCTTAATTATATGAAGCTAAAATGTATTATTGTGTTATGTTAGGATTGAACCAAAGTATCAAGAAATTTTAAGCAAGGACATAGTAGAATCTATGCAAGATGGTATCATGGTTAGGGTTATAGCAGGGGAAGCACTTGGGATAAAGTCTCCAATTTACACAAGAACACCAACAATGTACTTGGATTTTACTCTTAAACCCGGATCTCACTTACAACAACTTATACCAAAATCTTGGAATGCTTTTGTGTATGTTTTGGAAGGAGAGGGTATTTTTGGAAACCAAAAATCTCATCCTACAACCTCTCACCATATTCTTCTTCTAGGTAATGGGGATGGCGTGGAGGCATGGAATAAATCTTCTAAGGTACTAAGGTTCATTTTGGTTGGAGGAGAACCATTAGGTGAACCAATAGTGCAATTTGGACCCTTTGTGATGAATACTCAACAAGAGATTGATCAAACCATTGATGATTTTGAAAACTATACCAATGGTTTTGAGAAAGCAAGAGATTGGAGATCTTAGAATGGAGTTGATCTAGATTTTAATTTTGTAGGGTAGATTTTGGAGGGAAAAAAGCAAGGGAAAAATAAATATGCCCTACCCTTGTAAGTAGTTATGCAAAATGGAATCTATGATTAGTAATATAATATATTAATTGATATGAAATTCATGTCTCCTTTTTTATTTATTTATTTTTTTAACAATAGGAAATTCATGTCTAATGAAAAGTAAAAGAAAATATAATTACTCCAAGCCCCTCCTCTTCCTAGCAAACAAAACCAACATTCACAACAACTTGACAACGGTTTGGCTTTCCCCGTTTTAAGGGTGTTAAGAATGTTGAGTTTTGTAATATCGGTTAAGAAATATTTAATTGTTATATTATAAGATTGTTCGGAAATTATTTGTATGAATAAAATAGTTAGAGTAAAGATAAATTTAAAGAAATGTCACATTTGGTTGGTTAAATGTATTGTAACTCATATAAATCAAATATTGTTATAAAAAAAACATTATTGTAGCTAAATGTTACATATAAAATAAGTATTCCTTATATATGAGTTAAATGCCTAGAAAAATTGCACCAACATCATGATAATTTATGAGTCATTTCATGATCGTGTAAAAATAAATAAGAAAACATTTTATATGGAGTTTTGTTTTGACTATGGAATCTCTACTATTGAATGATAGATATAATTTTTTTTAAAAAATTAATCGGTTGCGATGTCGAATACTAAAATTTAAAAAAAAATAAAAAATAAAGAAAATAAGAAAGTTAACAAAAGTAAATTATAACTTGAAATAATAAAACATCATTGCATATGATCTTTATTTTTGAAATGTTTACGTATAACTTTGAAGAAGTAGTAATTACAATTTAGGGATTTATGGTCATTGATAAACAATATATGTCTTTTTTTTATCAATGATGGTTCCCACTGTTTTGGCATTATTGCTATATATGCTTCTACGAACTACATCTTAAGAAGAGATTTATGGTCAACTTTCTCTTTTCTAAAGTCTCTGAAGGGGGTCCCTTGGTGCTTATTGGGTGATTTCAATGCTATTTTGGGTGCTCAGGAACATAGGGGTAGGTTCAACCCTTATAGAATTCCAATTGAGGGTTTTCAATGTTGGACCAATTCCAACAATCTCATTCACCTTCCTATTAGAGGGGTTGAATTTACCTGGCATAACGGTAGGAGTGAAAATCACCTTATTGAAAGAAGACTGGATAGAGCTATATGTGATCATAGTTGGATTCAGTTCTGCATTAATATTTCTTGTTCCACCCTCACTAGACATAAATACGACCATTTCCCATCCTTTTGGACTTCATTTATCAACCTCTCAAGGCTACTTCATCCTTCAAGTTTCACAAAATGTGGGCTGAACACCCTGACTGTTTCAATGTGATTAAAGAATGTTGGAATGCTAACTTCTATGGATGTCCTATGTACAACAATGTTTTTGGCAATATTCATCAACTGTTAAGTAATGCAACATCTAATATGGATGATATTTAAGCACAAATTCAGAGTGAAGGGCGTAATGATGACCTCCATGCAAAACAACAAAAAGCTTCCACAATGAGGGAGATAGAAACACTGCTTACTTCTACATGATTTCTAAAATCAGGAATTGTAGCAAATACATCTCAACAATTCAGCATGAGAGTGTGACCTACTCTAGACCTGGGGACATTTCTCACATTTTCTCTTCTCACTTTGAACAGTTGTTTAATTCTAGCAATGGTTGTTCTGATAATGGTTTGGTGGACGAGGTGGTACCACAACTGATCAATGACAATCTAATGCTCTTTTGATTGTTCTTCCTAGTCATGAAGAAGTCAAAAATGTTGTTTTTTCCTTGGTGGCTTCTTCTTCCAATATTATTGGGATATCATTCATTCTGATGTAATAAATGCTACTGCTCAATTCTTTTTCACTAGCTGGACTCTTCCTAATTGGAATGCCAACAATATTGTCCTCGTCCCTAAGTGCTCTAATGCCATCATTGTGGATCAATTCAGGCCCATAGCCCTTGCTAATTTCAAGTCTAAGATTTTCTCCAAAATTTTGGCTGATAGAATTGCTACCATCACGCCCATCATTATCTCTCCAGAACAAAAGGGTTTTACCACAGGTAGATCGATTGTGGATCATATCTGCTTAACCTCTGAGGCTATCAACATGCTCCACAATAAAGCATTTGGTGGCAACATAGATGTTAAGATTGACATTAGGAAAGCTTTTGACATTCTTGATTGGGAGTTTTTGCTTAAGGTATTTAGCATATTTGGTTTTTCTGACAAATTCTGCTTTTGGATCGCCTTTGAGAAAAAATCATCAACTCCAACTATTGGTCTACGAATTGCAAAACTCCTCTTGTAAGAATCAAGACACGTATGCATTCTATGAAAATTAGGTAGTAATGGGCTTCTAACATATTCTTCAGTTTATTGTTTAAGTTCAACTGGTTGTTGTTCAGCTGCTTGGACATTTAACTTGATGGGTGCTATTTGGATTTGACCTCAATAGCTAATGTGCGTAGTCATACAATCTACGATATTGCTCCTTTAATGATCCTTCAACAATATTCAGTGTTGTCTTGTGTTCCCTATAATCTTTCATCTTACTCATTCCAGCATTCTATTTCTCATGCACGTTTTCACATATAGCAGTCAGTTTCACATTAGGGCTGACTCTAATTGTTGTGTATAATTTCTTCCTAAACCAATTAAAATTAAACATTCTAACATTGAACTCTTTATTACAAGTGTGATTGTCATTCAGTGTTCTTAATTGCCATGTATAGAACATAAGGCCACCCACCCATCCATACCCTTTCTTGTAGCCAACTCTAACCTTAGTCTTGTCATTCTTCAGATACCTTAAATCCCTTCCATTATGAACAACATAAGTCGCAATAGGTTCCTTGAACTTCTTCTTTGTTGAAAACAAGCTTCCCAATACCCACTTATATTCATTAAACCTCTTAGGCATGACAAATGATGGGTATTTAACATTTCCATCATCATATGAATTTTAACTACTAATGTCATCCTCACTTTCTAACTCTTCAGTTGCATAGTCAGAATCTGACAAACCATGACATACCTTCTTACATGTATTTTTTCCCTAACTCAAAAATCAAGGACATCTTCATCACTTGATGCTTCATAATTTCTGAGGGGGACTGAACTTCCTTCATCCACACCTTTTTCCTTAGGTCGTCCCTTGTGCTTTTTGGAACTGCCTTTTGACTTCTTTTTTTATGTTCTCCCTCCATTCCTCTTTCAATTCTGAGGTGTTTCATTTGCTAGTATATCAACATTAGGTTGATCACTTTGGCCAGCATGTAAGTCTCCTTCTCCTGCCAAGACTTCAACAAATCCATCATTTAAAACCTCATCATCTGAGTTAGCAAAACCTCCTTATTCTAATGCACTGTCATCATTGTCAACAGTTTGAGCCTCATTTGTTCCTCAGGTTAGGCCCCACAAACATCCTAATTTTGTTCCTCTGGTTGGTTCTTACAAACATCCTGATTTTGTTCCTCAGGTTGGGTCCCACAAACATCCTCATTTTGGTTCTCAGGTTGGGCCCCACAAACATTCTCATTTTGGTCCTTAGGTTGGGCCTCACAAACATCCTCATTTTGGTCCTCAGGTTGGGCCTCACAAACATCCTCAGGTTGGGTTTCAGGTAGGGCAAATACTAAATCAGGTTGTTCAATAGGGTGGACTGTGAATATGTCAACCTTTCCCTTAGTCTTGGATCAGTTCAGTGCTTCTATTACACCAAAATCATCTTCCAGCGCCTTCAATGTTTCAACAAAGTCATACCAAATTTCTTGAACTCCTGGATACTTCACCTCTTTGACAACCCCAATATTTCAAAGTAATTCCATCTATCACCATTACACTTTCAGTTTGACACTTCACCGCTTATATATTTGTCATTAACGAAATATCCTCCATGATGAAAGTCAACATAGAAGTCATCCATAACCATTATGTTCCTGTTTACATCAACCTAAAATAAGCAACATGCCCTAAAATGAAAACTACCATTACATATAAGCAACATCAACCTAACCATCAAACTAAATTCTAAAACACAGGATTTTCGTTTTCAAAAAATTAATTAAAATAGGAGAACCACAGAAAACTACCATTTAGTGTAAGTGTAACGTACCTAAGCAGAAGAGTTTCTTCACCTTCAATGTAGCTGCACGCAAGGGGGAAAAGTATCTTCACAAGATGTAATTTCACGAAGGGGGGGGGGGGGGGGGGAACAAAATTAGCCTTGTGTAACCTGATTTGGGGATTATACAGTCTTAATCAAAGAAAGTAGAAGACAAATGCCAAATCAACAAGCTTCAATGACACATCACCATTTTTAAATGTCACATCATCTCCGTTTGTGACATAAGCGTTTTTGGTATGGGGTTTGTGAAAAAAGTCAATGATGCAGACGTTACTTAACATAAAGAACCAAATTATAGCAAAAACAACTTAAAGGACTAACTTGTTATAATAAAATAATTTAAAGGACTAAGACAGTAGTTTTGCATTATTTTTAATAATCTTGTGGCTGATCCAGATGAAATATTTTTCAATGTTCGACATTCTTAGGGGTGGTTATTTATAGGATGCGTTGTAAAGGTACGAGTACGTACCCAGTAGCCGATATAGGTAATGATATGGAGTCCAACATTTTTAGAAAAACTATGGTACGAGTACGTTAGTATAACTTTTAAAAAAAATACAATTATAAAAATAACAAAGAAATTATATTGTTTAAATAACATGAAAACATTAAAATTAAAAAATAATTTACTTTAAAATAGTTAATATCTTTGCAATAACATAAATAAATCATACTTAGCAAGTATTATAAATCATAAAATCATGATTGAATCTCTATATTTTTCTCTCCAATATCATTAAAAAAGAAAGACTTCTAGTTTACGTTCATCAAGAGAAAGACTAGCAACTTTAAAAATATCACCTACATTAAATAGATTCCATTCATTTCCATCAATATCTCACATTTTTGTTATTTCTTCATTATAAACCTTACTCGAGAGAAGGAACCGATTTATATAAACAAAAACTAAATCATCAACCCTCTTTAGATTAAGCCTATTCCTTTTTAATGAATGACTAAATAGAATAATTAACCTAATTTTTACTCAGTAAAAAAAAATAAAATTAAACCATCCTAAAAAAATTTAAAAAAATTAAATACCAAATGTGTACCGATTGGTGTATCGGTATCCCATACTTCATTTAAAATAGAATACTCATGCTTCAGAGTTTATAGGATCCAAGGAGAGATTACATTGTAGCTTTTATGAATAGTATAAATTTCCTTTAAATTGTTTTAAACTTCTTTGATCTTATTGTTATGCTTTCTCTTATAAATGGCTTAGATTACCCCTGATAATCTAAGCCATTTATAAAATAAGATTCATAATTGAGTATGAAAAAAAATTTTAGTCTTTCTATAATTTAGAATGAGAAAAAATAAAAATTAAAAATTAGAGTGAACTAATGTGTGTTTATAAAATGATTGATGTGCCCTAAAAAAAATTGATAAATTTATTTTAAGAGTTAAAATAATAATTTCATTATAATCGATGTAAAATTACAAAAATATATTGAGAACTCGTCAGCTATTTTTAAGTCGTGAAAATGATAAGTTTGATATATTTTTCATTTTTTTAATCTATGTGTTAATTATTAAAGTAAACTATTATAAACTTTAAAAATTCAAATTTTAGTTAAAAAAACAAAGATAAAAGAAAATGGAAAAATGCCACTAGCAACATTCATTCACCAACTCAATAAAATTCATTCGCCACTAATAACATTTATTAACTAATCGAGCTCACTAAATATCAAATTAACATATTCATAAAGATGAATAAAACAAAACCAATTATATATATATATATATATATATATATATATATATATATATATATATATATATATATATATATATATATATATATATATATATATATATATATATATATATATATATATATATATATATATATATATATATATATATATATATATATATATATTCAATTATGTATTTAAATGAAAGTATATTGAAGAGTATAAAAAAATAAAATAAAACAATTGTATTAAAGCGCATATACATTTATAACACTCATTTTAAAGTTGTACTTTTGTTGTTTTCTTCTTTAATATATTTTTAACTTATACCAAAAGTACAGAAGATTATGAAAACACAGGAAAGAAAACTAATGCACTATATACGACCTTGCAACTTTCAATTTGATTTAATAATGACATTGAACTGATACAATTCATAGAAAGAGAAAGCATAAGCAAATAACTAAAAAGACTCATATCCTGTTTTATTTTATTTTATTATATATATCATTTAACAAAAGTTGCATGCATCCAATGTTGTCATTAAACCTTTGATAGAGGAGGAGGAGGAGGAATAATATAACCTGAAAAGTCACATTTATAATTCATAATATTAGTATTGTCCATATATATTATTTTATTCATAAAAATTATAAATAAATTGAAAAATAAATTAAATTTAAAAAGATAGGTATACAATTGTTTAATGATTAAGACAAGAAGAGCATAAAGAATAATAATAAAAATGAAACTTACTTCCACACTTGTCCGTAGGAATATTTTTGCATCGACAAGTTTTAGCAACAAACAATACTTTTTCTATGCTGAGCATTTTCTCAATATCAGGAGTCAAATATTTGCAGTAACATGTGATATCAGCATCTTTCAATGCTTCACAACATGATTTTGATGGTGGAATCTTTGGTCCACCCTTCTGAACAAAACGTTCACATTGAGTTTTGATGGCAACTATATCTCCACCACATTCAAATTCAACAGAAATTCCTAACATGCATGCAGTAAGAACTAATGTTGCAAAGCCTAAGTATCTAGTTGTCATCATGATAAAACCTCACTCTTTCTCAACTCTTTATTTGATCAAGGTGAAAGAAAGATTGTTAACTTATATCAAATGCATCACTAGACAACTATTTATATAGAACCACAATGACGTAAAAAGGTGTAAAACTTTTTATAAAAATAATTTATAATGTATTTTTTTGAGCACAATAAATGCAATTTATAACTTTAGCAAAGTCCAAGTTTTAATATAATTTAATATTAGTACCTAATTTATGTATTATAAAAATAATTATAAAACAATATACTTTTTGACCGGAATAAATATAATTTATAACTTCAGCTAAGTTTAAATGTTTTAATATAAATTAATATTAAAATATTTTTATTCAATATTTAACAATCTTAGTACCTAAGTTATATGTTATATTTTAAGAGTAGGGATCATAATGGGTGGGTAGCAGTTTAAAAAAATAAACAAATATTTTATATTAAAATGCGTATAAATTTAATGGGGATGCATTTAATAAAACTGAATAATTAACATGTATACATAGTAATAAATATATATATATATATATATATATATATATATATATATATATATATATATATATATATATATATATATATATATATATATATATATATATATATATATATTTAAATATAAATATAAATATATATATATATATATATATATATATATATATATATATATATATATATATATATATATATATATATATATATATATATATATATATATATATATATATATATATATATATATATATATATATATATATATATATATATATATATATATATATATATATATATATATATATATATATATATATTGTGCGGGTATGGGGCAGATGAATCCTAAGATAAATTATGCTTATGCCGACCGCCATAAGCTTTAAGTGAGCATGTGATGTGGCTGGGTGCAATGGTGAATGCTATGTATTAGAAAGTTGGACTTTTCTGCATTTTCGTCCTCTTCTTGCTCTTTTCTCGATTTCTTTGCATAGACACTTCATAATCAAATAGTTCTTGAAATGTAAATAGAACAAGACATAATACTAACAAAACATGACAAAATGACATAAAATAACATGTGTATCAGGTCGAAATGCATGATACGTTTTCACGTTATCAAACTCCCCCACACTTAGACTATTGCTTGTCCTCAAACAATCAACCAACATGTTATAAGAAATAAACACGACTTTGAAACATAGGCACAATGAGACTTTAATTACATGTGGTTGTTGTGACTAATGCTAGATCGGTAGGTATTAATTATCAATACCAAGGATACCGTAATGATACATACCCACAATTCACGGTCAAAAACTCCCCCTGTATGCAAACTAATCTGAATCATGTCATTATAACTCAACCTAGGCTATTTTTTCTTTTTCACCATTTTACATTCAAGCGCAATCACATTAAACCCGTTATCCTCGCACGTACATGATAAGTAAACCTTTAGCGTCTAAGGAGGAGTGAAAACTTCATAAAAGTGTTTGTTAAAGGAAAATTTGTTGAGTTCTCTCTCTCTCTCTCCATAATTAGCGGGTACTTGGAAATAAGTGAAAACCCTCAAGATGAGCTTGAAGAATCAGACAACAAGATTTGCAAGGAAATAACTGCAAATTAGGTTGAACATTGGCCTTGGAAAGGGAAACTCACTACTGAGAAACATAGTGTAAAGTATGTCATTCTGTATAGAATTGGAGTTGTTAATTGGGTGCCCACCAACCACACCTCAACCATTTCTACCAGTTTAGGCAGGTTCATCTATGTTGTTGGGACAAAGGCTAATTTTGATTATGGGGCTTACATTTTTGGCCAAACCTTAAAGCATGATGGAACATCTGCAGTAAAGATGCCAATAGATTTTCCTTCCCTTATAAGTGGTATCATCTTAAATCAGCATCCTAGTATCTTAACTAGTCCTGTCAGTGCTTGCAAAAAGGAATCTATGCTGTCCTTCATTTATAAACTGTTTGTAGGAACACATGTCTCAGACATTATTCTGACATCTACTAAGGAGACTGTGCATTCAACTTCAAAGGTTGGAATTATAGCTGAGCTGAAAGAAGCTTGCAAGGAGATGGATGATGTTATTCGTACAATCACCGAAAGGAAGCTCAAGTTTGAGAGGATGATCAGGTTTCTGACTGAAGAAGGGCATACTGCTGGTCATGATATTGAAAGGGGGAAATGATGATAATGATGATACAAGTCGTGCTACTGCCAAGACAGATGATTCCACTAGCAACTGATGAATGGTTCTGTTTGCTTTGTTGTTTATGTTGTTTTGGGGCTTTGCCCAGGATTATTTTGGCACCTTATGTAATTGGTTTGTACTTCTATTTTGCTTGCTCCCTTAAAGAGGGAGCAATGTTAATAGCATTTAATGTGTGTTTCCATTTCGAACTTATGTGATTCCATCTGTTACATTTGTGTTTCCATTAGTGCTTATGCTTTATGCATTATATTTGTATGCTTCCATTTGTGTGATTCCATCTGTTACATTTGTGTTTCCATCAGTGTTTATGCTTTATGCATTATGTTTGTGTGCTTCCATTTGTGTTGCTTCCATTTATGATTGTTTACATTTATTATGTTTTTTTTGGTTAACTTTTGACTAAAACGGGAGAGTAAAGTCATATTATGTTTGTTGTTTCTGATGTTGGATTAGATGTCATGACTTCATGTAATGTGTTTTACTACTGCTTAGGAAGAGTAGTTTTCATTGTTTTTGTTGGCTGTATGCAACTTGTAATACCCCAAAATTTTACCTTTGATTTAGTCAATTCATCTCGCATTCCATTGCATTTAACCAGTCACTAACAGGTTTGTGTAGTCTGTTGATTTTGCAGGAAAAATCACGTTGCGCGCTCTTTAACTTATGAAGGGTAGAATGGTCATTTATTTGCAACCGGCTGTCAATTTATGAATCTGAGTTGTAGTCAGGGAATTTGAACTATTTGAATTTGTTGGCGTGAATCGAGGCTAAGGGTATTGATTGGAAGAGTTTAATCGTGGAGGATTGGAGTCAGGTGTTTTAAATCAGTTCTTTTTGTTTGGATGAAGTTAGTCGGAAAAAATAGGGTCATTTGAGTTTAATCGAACAGATTGGATTTATTCTGATAAGGTTTTTCATCTAAATTGTCGGAAGGATTAATCGAAAGTTGTATTGGAGACAAGATTAATCGGATGAATTGGACGAATTTTTGAATTAATAAAAAAAATAGAATTTTATTGGTGTTTTTATTTCATTTTAAAAATAAAAAATATACACTTTTTATAATGTTTTTTCATTCTATTTTCATATCAAAAGAAAATAAAGATTTTATGTCTTCACATTTTTTTATAATGTTTTTATTTCATTTTCATATCAATAGAAAAATAAAGATTTTATTTCACATTTTTTATAATATTTTTAGTTCATTTTTAATATCAAGAAAATATATATAATAATGTTTTTCATTTCATTTCTAATATAAAAATTAATTAATTTACAATATAAAAAATAACAAATAAGTTTACAATTTAATTTATATTTATTTTTTCTAAAAATCCTAAATTCCTGAACTCTTCCGATTTCTTCGATTTTTTTCGAGTCTCTGATTCTTCGAACCTGCAAAATCAACAGCAAATAAACAAGTTTTATCGGTTAGATTTTCGTCCTGATACCCTCATATCAAATGTCATCATCGGGTATGTCGGAAGGGTAACAGTTTGCTCCGTCGCCAACTCTCGACTCAACTTCTGACATCTCGGCTAAAACCCGACAATTTTTGTTCTTAAATTATTTCGAGAAAGAAAGAGAGATAAAAAGATCTCCCAGAAAAGTGATTATTAAAAAAAAGTGCTTTATGAAAAAGCGCTTATTCAAAAAAGTGTTTTTTAACCAAACAAACCCTAAAACACATTCTGAGTTCATTTAAATCAATCATCAATTACAAACAAACAAGTTCCCGAAAATTTTGGAACTGAAATTGGATCAAACGCAGCAAAGCAACCAAAATCCGAAGTCCACCTGAAAGAACTCAACAAAATCTGCAGCAAGGTTAACACTTTCAAGAACAATATTGCAAAGTCCAACGAGCCAACAAGTCAAACCGTAAGCCACCAAAGTAGCCATGAATATCGCAATAAATAAGCTGCGAATTTGTGAAAGGCGCAACCAATCAGTAAAACTGCCACTAAATCCTGCGAATCTGGCATGAAAAATGGGAAGAAACCAAGCAACGGATTAATCCAAGCCCACAAGTAAAACAAGGATATAAAGTTCCAACACCAGAAAAGTAAAGGGGGCGGTCAGAAATAAGAGGAGAAAAAACCTAGAAAGTGACGGCGGCGGCGTGACTAGGGAGATTCAGAAACCCTCAAAGTTTCCATCATCATCATCATATATCAAAAGGGAAAACAATCCATCATCAACCGCGAGTAAGGTTCAGAGAAGCTAAGAAGCTTCTTCATCATCACCATTCTCGGGTGGTCAGAAATAAGAAGAGAAAAAAGCCATCAACAACCGCGAAATCATCATAACCATTCGACCATCACCAGCCCAAAACGCGAAGAACGTGAACTCAGACGGAGTGGCCTCATCATCACCGTCCATCCTCATCATCACCGTCCACCACCGGATCTGCCGCTTCAAACCCTCAAAGGAAGGTGAGCAGCTATCCCAGGTTGTTGGTGTTTGTTCGTTTTGTAGGTATCAAGGCAAGAGACGGAAGGCAACATGCAGGTGAAAGATGAAGAAGAAAAGCTCATGAGAGAGCTTCAATGGCGTCGCCGGCCCTAATGAAGAAGAAGAGGGGAGCTTAATGAAAAAACCCTAAAATAAATCTCCAGCACACGAACCCCTCTCCTTCTTGGCATTTATTTCTTGTTATTTATTATTTATTATTATTTTAATTAGTTTATTAATTATTTTTTTCATTAATATTTGTATTTAATAGCTGAATTTTAAAATGTAATTGTTAAGTCTTTTAGTAGTTCACAAAATAGACC